TTTTCCCATCTTTTGTGGCACCGAGAATTGGCTAAAAGCCTGCATCAAAGTACTTGGAGAAATAAAGAAATATGTCACTAAACGAACACGACACCAAAAAAGTACATGTGCGACACTTTTAAATGTCTCGAAAGGTATTTTTCCTATATTTCATAAAAGTTAAAATACTCACTTACTTAAAGGATGGATATATAAAGGGAATACTAAAAGCCTACTCCCTCCGATCCATAATAAGTGATTTTTTATTTATTTTTTTGTGGTCCAAAATAAGTGATTTTTTCAGATTTCAAGAATGAATTAATTATTTTTTTCCTACATTGCCCTTGGAGTAAATAATGTTGGAGTATTTGTTAGGAGTGTTTATGTGAAAAGATGGTAAAGGTTAAAATAGTCAATTTCATTGCTAATTAATGTTAGAAGGTGAGTTTCTTAATATGTGTAAAAACAACCAAAAAAATCACTTATTTTGGACCGGAGGGAGTAATAATTATATGCATTTAAGATTTAATCTGTACGTGGTAACTCATAGTTTATACTTTACAAAACAATTAAAAATATCTCTTTCAGTGTTTTTATTTTCTAGCCTAAATAAGGAATATACATAGTGCACTTAATTATAAGTTACATACGTATTAAGACAGTTGATATAGTTCGTCCATAGTGGAGCTCTGTATGGGGACTGAAATGTGGAGAAGATTAGTAGTCAATGAATAGGGAAAAGCAAAGACCATTAATATTGGTGATATTTGGGAGGTTGAGGAGAGGACACAACATCAAGTGGAATAGTTTTTTCCTAGAGGAACCTAATGGTGCAACTACTATTCTACGATTCTTCTTCTTCTAAACCTCCAGAAAAGAATAACATTGCAATCATGAGGATACCTCATTTTTCCATTAATAGTCTATTACATTGGCTGACATTTTAATGTCTTTCACATGTATTATGCGTCGAAAGATATTGAGTTCGGATAAACCACTAAAACGATTATATTATTCGTTAGCACTTAGGTTTGGATTAAGTGGACCAAACCCTTGGTATGTCACGAAACCCCTCCCCTACTTCTTTTTTGAGGAGTAGACCTAATAATATAAGGAATTTTTACGTTGAATACAGTCGAATACAATACTCTGTCCAGCTGTAATCCCAAGTTTTACGTTATGAATACAGTCGAATACACTCGAATACAACAACTAATTAGTTATACTTCCCTGATTCACGCCTATTTTTGCTATTGTATTCATGAATACAGTAGCTTAAATACATCTAATACATCTTATAACAACATAAAACGTATCTACAATCCGTAATATAGCAAATGGTATTTATATATAGCTAATTACCACTAAAAAATAGTGCTTTATGAAAATTTCTCATAATATAATGACAAGAGTATTCGTCGGTTTTGTTACAATTCCCCATGGTTGCCGATTTTGGGAGACCTTTTCCCCTTTTAATTTCTTTTATGGTCCATCAACTAAGCATCTAATTAGGAAAAAAGTAGACTTAAATATTGTCTTTTTAATTTATGTTTTAAAATAGTAAGTAGGAATATGAGTCCACTTATCAAGAAATTAACTAGTCTCACATAAGTAATTGGTTATGTGACTCACATAGTAAAATTTCTCTTTTGTTGCTGTTTTTTTTTTTTTTTATCTTACTTTAAAAAATTTCCTTTTAAAGAAGTAAAGCCAAGGACAGGGCATCAAAGAGAAAGGCAAGACTCTTACTGAAATTTGAACCCTGCACCTTAAATGATGTAAAATGGAGATGTTTAAATGGAAATTCAATGCCCCCTCCCCACTTCTTCACCTGTTCTATTTTCCGCTTAATATTACTCTCTTAAAATGAAATTCCCTCCTTATTTAGATAAACTAAAATGGTGAAATTTCTGACATAATTAACGAACCCTACAAATATCTAATCAGATGTTATTGGACGCTTAAGAAGTGAAATTTGTGTACTCATTTATTTGTATTCACTAATGGTAGATCAAATTTCTAACTTCCAAAGATAAACTCAGTTACCTTAAGTCCACATTTTTTAAAGGTGCTTTTCGTCAGAAATGTTTTTTTGTAAAAATACTTTTGAAAAGCAGCAATTTATGTTTATGCAATCTATTTGAGAAGCATTTTGTCAATGTTAGATCAACAATTTGTCTTTGGCTAGGATTACAAGAATGCTTCCGGGAAAAAACTACTTTTTCAGTTTCTGAAAAGCTACTTCAAAATACTTAATTTTTTCTTAAAAACACATCTAACTCTCTATAATACTTTTTTTCTAAGTTTTGATTTCGACATCGTAAAACTATAGCTCACGAAATAAGTAAGCGTTGCAATGCTTACATTGACCAAAAGTTGTGCAACAAAAATTTGGACGAATCCTAAAACTTCCCAAGCAAAACACACACACATACACAAAAAAAAAAAAAAAAAAAAAAAGAAAAGAAAAAGTAAAGTACGTCGACTACTTCTTTA